CGAAGGCTATTGTCGTCTGCTTTGGAAAACCAAATTATCTGATCGCATCATGTTACTGCATATCCGATGTTATATAATAGCTGGACTCTTATTGGTCCAAACGGTAGTCAAAGTAATAAAAGTACTTATCATTACTATAATTGTGAAATTACGAGATTTGAATCTAGAAATACGTAATAAAAACAAAATACAACAAAAGGGTACTGTTTTAAATACTTAAATTGAATACTATCTTTCTATCTATCTATCTATCTATCTATCTATCTATCTATCTATCTATCTATCTATCTATCTATCTATCTATCTATCTATCTATCTATCTATCTATCTATCTATCTATCTATCTATCTATCTATCTATCTATCTATCTATCTATCTATCTATCTATCTATCTATCTACCTACCTACCTACCTACCTACCTACCTACCTACCTTATCTATCTATCTATCTTATCTATCTATCTATCTTATCTATCTTATCTATCTATCTATCTATCTATCTATCTAAAAAATTTTTTTTATTTATTCATTTATTTATTTTACTTATTTATTTATCTGTTATTTCGTTCGTTCATATTTTGTTCTGTTTGTTCATTGGTTGATTCATTCATTCATTCATTCATTTATTCATTCTCGGTCGGTCCTCTGTTTATCCGTACAAAACCAGAGCTACATTATATGGGGTTTGGTCTATTGTTCTCATAAAAATAGATGTCTTTGATGTTCATTCATTCCGGACTTTCTCTTTTTGGGGTTATTTTCTGCATTGTGGGGTTAAAAAGAACAAAAAAATAACAAAAGAAAACCCCATAATGTAGCTCTGGTAAGAACGTCATTCCGTCTGTAAGTCCATCCATCCCATCCATCTATCCATCCATCCATAAGATCATTCATTCATTCGTTCGTTCGTTCGTAAATTCATTCATTCATTCATTCTTTCATTTATTTATTTATTTATTTATTTATTTATTTATTACAGTAACTTACAGATTTCACTGATTTGTTTACACTCAACTCTAATTAGGCTCTTATGTCCATGTGCTGACAAATGCTACACAAGAAATTTGTATTGAACGGAAAACCAGTGTTTAATGATTAATTTTGGTTTCACAAAGTAATCCATTGCTTGTAAACAAGTTGGTGGATCAAACAGTTCTGGTGATTACAATTTTTGAATGTTATATTTGTTTTAAAAATGAGGAATTTGATATGAAATTTGTCGTGGACTTTGATAAATTACGATTGCTGGAAATGTAAATTAAAGACATTTGTTTTAGTTTTTTTATGGTCAATAACTGGTTGGTCATGTGGGACAACTGTTTAATGAAATCCTTTTAAATTACAATTGTGAAAAGGGATGCACTTTCTAAACAAGTACCCAGAATTAAATGAATGAATTTTCCCCTAAAACGGTTAAAGATTCAAAAAAACAAAAAATACATGGTTGATACAAGGCCGTTTACCATTGTTTGTCATTGTTTTTCAAAGAGATGTGGGTTTGGTTGTTGTTGGCTTTTTTTTTGTTTTTTTTTTTGAATCAAGCAATGATAAATCTGGTGTGATTTTATTTTTTTCTATTACAAGCTTTTAATGAACACAAAGTATTTAAAGGACCTGTACGAAAGTAATACATTGATGTTGAACTCATATGTATTGCAGTCTCCAGCTTATAAAAGAATGGATGTTTTCTTTCTTTTGCCTCCGAAGCCCCCACTTACGAAGACCGCTGAGGACATTTTCAACTTCATGATTTCCCGATTTTATCTTCGAACATTCACAAGTTTAACTCCTTGAATTTACGTTTTCAAGAAACGGAATTCACCGAGTTCCCGATTTCGGCTTCATGAATTAACGATTTCAGTTTTCACGAATTCACGATTTCAAGTTCATGAATTCACGATTTCAACTTCATGAATTCAAACGATTTTCAGCTTCACAAATTCATGATTTTAACTTCATAAATTTCCACCATTTAAAACTTTTCACGAATTCGCTTTCTTTTAATTAAACCCCGGGTTTTTTCAATTTCCCAAAATTTTGGCGATTTAAACTCCACAAATTTCACGATTTAAAACCCAACTATTTAAAAAATTCCCATGCTTCATACCTGTGATTAAAAACCTTTATAAAGGTGAGGTGTTTGGGGGTTTTTTTTAAATTAAAACTTTTTTTCGACATTTTTTTCGTAAAGGATTTTTTTAAAACCAAAGCCCATTGCATTTTGATAATGCCCTTTTAATAGAAGAAAAAAAAGGTTAAAGAAATGAGTTCTGGTGCCCAAATATTATTTCCCGCTATGGTCATTATTTTTTAATTTTCTTAAAGACTGTAACAATTATGGGTTTTATTAAAAAAGGTTTCCCTTTCAGTCATTTAAAACCCTTTGGAAATCTGGCTTTTTTACCATCACAAGTTTTGGGGGAAAAATTTAAAAAGGCCACAATTAAAATAATTTACATGCAGGTGTAACCTAGTAAATAACACGAGTACGCTCATAAAATCGTCATTCGTGAAATCGGTATCATAGTTCATTGAAATTCACTGATGTGAGGCTTCTTGAAAGATGAGTGATGTTCAACAAAACACCAACTTTACTCATGCAGTAAGTGATGTCCGCCAAAACACCAGCAATACTCATGCAGTAAGTGATGTTCACCAAAACACTAGCAATACGCATGCAGTAAGTGATGTTCACCAAAACACTAGCAATACTCATGCAGTAAGTGATGTTCACCAAAACACTAGCAATACTCATGCAGTAAGTGATGTTCACCAAAACACTAGCAATACGCATGCAGTAAGTGATGTTCACCAAAACATTAGCAATACTCATGCAGTTAGTTATGTTCACCAAAACACCAGCAATACTCATGCAGTTAGTTATGTTCACCAAAACACCAGCAATACTCATGCAGTTAGTGATGTTTACCAAAACACTAGCAATACTCATGCAGTTATTAGTGATGTTCGCCAGATATGGAAAAAAACAAACCTCAGTGGTTGATATTCACTAAAATACGGACAATACTCAGTGAGAGATGTTCGCCAAGATGGTGGCAATACTCAGTGAATGATGTTCACTAACACGAGAAAAACTCAATGCGTGAAAATCACTAAAACAAGAGCAACATTCATTGAGTGATGTTCACCATAACACGAGAATGTTAACCAAAACTCGAGCAATATTAAGTTGGGCACTTTTTAAGTGAATGATGTACTGCAACTAGTGAGCAATACCCAATGTGTTATGTTTGCTTTATTTTGGCGTTTTCCTTAAAGTGCTGACATAAAACATTTTCTCATTTTAAATTCAAGATAAAAAAAAATATTTTTGCTAAGTTAAATAAAAGTTCAAAACTAGATTTTTCATTTCACGTCAATTAGTATTCATTCTGTCGGTAAAAAGCTCACGTCACAATTGTTTAGGTGCCATTCAAATGTAAACGGAAGCCCTGGCGACATGCTGGGTCAATATTTACGTCATTTTCCTTGTAAATGGGATAATATTAATGCTTGAAATGTTTTCTATATTGTTTTGATTATTTATTATTTGAATATAAATATCCTACTTAAGTACAACAGAACATCTATAACTGTGTACACAAACGAAATGATGAGTCTCTCAAGTATTTTTTTTTTTTTTTTTTTTTTTTTTTTTTTTGATATAAGAATTTCGGTTTTACATCTTAGGCATCAATAATTTGTCATGCAATATGATGGCCAGATGCTTGGTATTAATAAATTCGAAAGTGCAGACTAATTTTATTCAGAATAAACAATTTCTAATTATGAAAGGAAACGAAAATCGTTCATCGTTCTATTCTTGGGGGATGAGGGAAAGGGGTCAAAAAAGATTCAAATGAGACAGTTTAAAGCAAAGTTTCATTGTATTATAACAAACAAAAAATCCTTTGTTGAGCATAGTATAGATAGAACCTGAAGTAAAAGTAAACACGTTTTAAGTGTCCTAATTCTGAGGTCGAAATTCAAATAAAAAATACCACTTTATTTTGTTTACTTACATGTTAAGTGTAAAAGAGAGTAAGTGCAATGATACTGTAATGTGAGACCAGATTTTTTTGTTAAAAGTACGAATGTAAATGCTATCTTTTTAACATTTTAGAATTTTAAATCATTACTTACACCGGATGTGTGAAATCATAGTGTTTGATGATTATTATTATTTGCAAGAAAATGATTATTTTATATGATAAAAGAACTTAAAAAACTTGAGAACGAAAATGTTTTAAAATGTTACTTGGACGAATAGAATATACATGGGTTTTATTATGTTGGTATGTTATTTATTATGTAATGAATATGATAAAAGTAGGTTTACTTATATTGTGTGTTCATTTTTGTTTAAAAAATGTTATATCATTAAAAAACAAAATGCATAAATGAAGCTTTGTACTCTTTCTGATGCATTTTTTACATTTTCAAATTGAGAAAACGTAATGCAAAAATGGAGGGTTCCGGATTCTAGGCAGGGCTAGAGTATTTTATAAATGAAGCGTTTATTCAGGAAACGTATTTGAAGCGCTTTTCTTTTTGTTGTTGTTGTTGTTGCTGTTGTTGTTTTGTTTTTGTTTTGTTTTTTAGTTTTTGTTTTTATTTGGGGAGGGGGGATAATTTTTTTTTTTTATTTATTTATTTTATTCCATTTTTAGATATATTTTTTGCTTGATACATTCCGATTATACGTTAATATATAAGAAACGAAAAAGATCATTACTTGCAGAACACTATTTTTCTTGTGTATTTTGACAGTATTTTCGCCTATCTTGGTCGGTTCTCTCATGGTTTCCCACATGCAGTAGTGACACCTACATATACAAGCGGCAATAAGTACCGGTTTAAAGGAGTGTGCGAGTTTCCTCTAGACACTGGAGAGTCCTCCTTTACCGTCAACATCACCTTTGATAAAGAAATAACCGGATTTCAGGTATGGCCTACGTGTTTATTATTTGATCTCTAATTTTATAACCCATTCTTTACATGCATTGTTATGATCATGAAGACATCTTTCAACTTTGGTAAGTCTGTTAAGAAAAAAGGGAGATGCCTGACAGTTTCGTATCTTTTAATACAAAATCTTCTGCGGCCATAGTACCCTTTTTAGTTTAGTTTTGTTCTCTTAAATGATTTTCTTGCTTATCTGGTTCCTACAACTACAAATTAAAGTTAAGATGGAGCCTGGAACCAAAATAGGTATAATATGAATATTGCCTATACTCAGACGCTTGCATTTGCATTGAGTCTATTGTTTTTACGGAAGCATAAGTTTTTAAAACATAAAGGTCAACGCGCATAAGTTTTTGAAACATTAAGGTCATGTGTGCTTTTTTATACTGATCATATTCTGAGGGCAATTTTTGTGTTTAACTGTTTTCGACAATACGAAGTGACGTCAATAATAATTTTTGTGATATAAAGAAAGGATTCTAAGGCCGCTATTCCATTTATACGTGATCAGTGGTCCGCGTCCGTCATCCGCATCCGTTACCGATTCGCTAATCAAAGAATACGTTGAATCTATTCCTTTTGTCCGTTTACCATCCGCTTCCGCGACGGCATCCGCGACGTTTCGCAGGATGAGCGATTTTTTACGGACGCGGGACAGCCACTGACATGTCTCATCCCTACAAAATGCCTCGAACGAAATTAAATACTTTATCGATTTCGAAAAGAAAATACTAAAGAAGTCACCAAAATAGTGTAGGAGAAACATATAAGTTTTATGATGCAGCAATGACAGATTAAAAAAAACAACATCTGGTCATCGGTTGCTAAAGAGATGTTATTTGAAAACCTAACTGATATTCAATGTTTGTTATTTAATTCTTTGATGTTACAACTGTTTTTGGTATTAGAATGAAATTATATCATATTCTACAAATAATTATCCTCTGTTCGCTATACTTCAATTAAAAGTATATAGAAAATAACGTACCTATGGAATAATACCCACGGACATGCCCCGGACACGGATCACTGACGCGGATCACTGATCACGTATAATTAATGGAATAGCGGCCTTACTAGTAAGAAAAATTTTTATACACGGATACATTACCCCGAGTCCGCAAATTAGACACGGTTACTCTATGGTCGGAGATGCGTTCATCTTATGCGTCGGGGGGGGGGGGGGTGTTATTTTTTTTGGCTGGGAATGCATTTATTCTGCGCCATGTATTGTTACCAAAATACATTGACATTGTGTCTAGATTAAACAGAAACTAATTATATTATTACATGTAATGTAGCTTTCTCAAATCTTTGTTTCCCCTTTCGGATGGAGTATTTATATAAATATTCAACATTTTTGCAATTTTAAAAATTGTTTCAGTTTTGGATCACTCAAGACGTATCGGTTGACCCAAGCGGGAAATGGATTTGCGTCAGAAACAAATTTCCAGAACCAGGACCACAAGTAATTTCCCTACAATTTCACGCTGACTTTGAAAGTCCAGGCGACCCAGTAGGCGAGTGCTATGTCCAGACAAATAGTCAGACACAATGCCTGTCCTATGGTAAGAAGTTAGAGTCGCTACGACAAGCATCATAATGTTTTATTTTGGAGATTTAATTTCAAAGATGCCATATGAAACAAATTAGAAACATTATAATTAGTTTAAACATATTTTATTCTTTTTATTTTCTACAAGAAAAGCAAATATATAGAATAAAAAATAAAAATGCATTTTTGAAAGCAAAAGGGTTGGACCACAAGTGAATATACCCCATTTATTTCAGTAATTCGGTCTATCCCTGATACGAATCTAAAGAAAAGCTGCTACTATAGATTACATTGACATGGCATTGAAGAATCTAACAAAATATTTTTTTAAAAATGTTAGACAATTTAAAAAAAAACAAAAAACAAAAAAAAAAACTTTACATCATAATAAAAGAAATAGGGTATACACGAGAATTTCCTTTGATAATTTCTATTTTGGATATTTTTAAACTGTAAATTAACTTCGGGGTAATGAAATCTTACCACGCTTGATATCTTAAAAGGACTTGTCCGTCTTTTAATCTAACAAAAGGCATTTTACATTTCACTTCAAACCACTTGCCCCACCGCTGTGGGTTCGAATCCCGACAGGGACTTTGGATTCTTTCATGTGAGGAAGCTATCCAGTAAGCTTACGGAACGCCGGTGGTTCTACTCTGGTGCCCGTTCGTGCCTGAAAAAATGCACGGAGTGGCACTTGAGGTCTTCCTCCACCAGTAAAGCCGGAACGCCGCCAAATGGCCTATACTGTGTCGGTGTGACGTAAAACCCAAATCAAACAAACAAACAAACAAAACGTTTCAATGAATCATAAATGACAAATTTATAGTTCGCAAAACCTGAAATACATTCATGAAGAATATAAAAACTTAATAAAATTAAAGAGTTGGTACCATTATATATTATATGATCAATATCATTGCGTAAAATGTTTGATTTGTGTCTGCATTTGATTTCAAACAATGTATGAACCTCAAGAC